ATAGATAAATCTTAAAAAAAAAAAAAAAAAGGAAGAGCAAAAAGAAAAGTTGAAGTCTAATAGCTTCTAGTTTAGAACTGTTTCTACTGTCATTGCAGCCTTGAGGATAGCACCACGGCAACATTTGAGCCCTATAGATGGAAATTAAATAATGATAGAAGTGTGAACCTAAGAGCCCCTGAAAATAATAAATAGTGGTAAATTTAGATTCTTACCCTGTCTAGAATATTTTCTTACTTCTACACATAAATACTTTTGGCTATCAGTTTCATATTATGGAACGTTAATATGATTGTTAAAACAACAAACATGATCTACTCAGTTGAAAAATATATTACTTGAGTGTGAGAGCAGAATTTGCCAGTCAGGGGAAGGGCTGCATTAAAAATTTTTTTTTTTTACCATCCATTGTTTTTCTTAATTGGGTTTACAGAATCTACGCTAAAACTGTTGCTGACCATGGTCTAGTGTTGCTGACCTAGTGCCTCTTTAGTTGAGGTCAGTCCCTCAGTGTTAGTATCAGTTAACAATCTTTGCCAAAGGTTGGATCAATTCAGATAAATAAATCTCAAGTCTCTTGAATGCTGTTCATGTGCCATGAGTTCTGCTAGGCACTGTAGATTAAAAAAGAAATTAGACAAAGTCCCTAGGTTACAGGAAAATACACTAGGAGGTCCTCATCTCTTCTCTTAATACCCTGAGAGAAAGCCAGTAGCAGTGAATTGTTTTCTCCTCCTTTTGTTGGTAGAGAAACATGAGAAATTTGAGAGGTAGCTATGGAATACGTTCGGTGGCTTCTCTTCATATGCACCTATGTCATGCACTGTAATGCATGTTGTGCATAAAAGAAAGATTGATTTTTATAAGATTTTGTGCTGTTAAAGGGAAGGGACTTGATCTATGTAATTTTTTATATAGTACTTACAAACATTTGGATTTTTAACAGATCTTGAGAATGATGATTCTGTTTTAAGATGGTTTATTACATTCACTTATATCTACTTGTAAATATGTTAATTTAGGGGCATTAGGGATTATACTGCTTCAACATTTATTTTTTTTTTTTAAGATTTTATTTATTTGACAGAGAGACACAGTGAGAGAGGGAACACAAGCAGGGGGAGTGGGAGTGGGAGAAGCAGGCTTCCCGCTGAGCAGGGAGCCCAGTGCGGGGCTCAATCCCAGGACCCTCGGATCATGACCTGAGCCGAAGGCAGATGCTTAACGACTGAGCCACCCAGGCACCCCTTCAACAAACATTTATAACAGAACTGTATTAAAATTTGAAGGAAATATATGTTCATTGTTTGGGGGAAATTAATTTATCTTGAGTCTGCCACAATAACAAATTATAGTCAGAATGTTCAAGAAATAAGGGTCTTTACTAAACAGTCTTTTCACATTCTTGTGATCAGTATTCTCTCTTTAGTCTTTTAGGACTCAGCTGTAACTGACCATAGTTTTGCTTTTTCTTGACCCATTTAAATCACTACCGAATTTAATTTAAAAGAAGATATATTTAAATTAATTCTTAATGTCATGTCAAAAATAACATCTAGCTAAACCTCTTCTAATAAAGAGTGATGTTTCATTTTTTTTTTCTCAGTACCAAGGTGGGAATGGCTCAAGTCCAGTAAGAGGCATACCTGCTGCGATCCGTTCTCCTCAAAATTCACATTCACATTCCACTCCTTCTTCATCTGTAAGTTTTTACATGTGTAGATAGTCTTCTGTCTGCTGAACCTATGTATATATGTATACAGATTAACTTTTCATTGAAAACTTCTACATATATTTATTTGTATTTATCTTTTTAGAAAATCATTCTCTGAGGTAAGTTAAATTCTTTTTATTTTTTATTTTTATTTTTTTTTTGAAGATTTTATTTATTTATGAGAGAGGGAGAATGAGAGAGAGAGAGAGCACATGAGAGGGGGAAGGGTCACAGGGAGAAGCAGACTCCCTGCTGAGCAGTCCCAAGCATCCAGGGACTCCAGGATCATGACCTGAGCCGAAGGCAGTCACTTAACCAACTGAGCCACCCAGGTGCCCAGTTAAATTCTTTTTAATGATCTGATGCTGTTAGAACTTCATTTCTTCAAGTGAGATCCTTAAGTTAAAGATTTCCTGAATTAATTATATCCAAGAAGTGAAGTTTCTATAAAAGAATGATGTCGAGCCTATGGGACTACAACAAATACTCTTGTATCAGTCCATATTCAATTACTGATTTCTAATTTCTAACTCTCCTTAAGAGAAAGGTAGGCACCCTTTATCCCTGGATCATTTTAGTTCAACATAGGAGAAGGATCTTGGGTCTAAAAATTATCTTACAACTTTTTGGTTTGTTGCTAGTGTTTTAAGATCTAGTTCTATTTATATGCATTGTTTTGCTTATTGGATTTCATTTTTTCTTTACTTTTATTATATGAAAATTTAATGTCTAACCAGAAAAGCAGCATTGGCTTTCAGTAATTTAAAAATGAATTAAAGATTTTTTAAAATCAGAGTATCTCTTATTTTTTTCAAGTACCCTGTTTTTACTTCCAGTGTCCCCTTCTATGCCTTGCCTGTAGACACACACTTAGTTGTGTCTTACTCCTTTTGTACCTTGGCTACATCATATTGCCATACGCAAAATAAAGTGTCAGACTCAACAATAATTTTGAGTTAAAGTGATGGCATTGGTACAGTGATATAGTCTGTTTTCAATGATGTGTTTTAAAACTAGTAACTAGATAAACCATGAAACTCATCAGTAAATTGATATTATACCCTATATGGATGTGCATTATTGTCCTTGGTACTAAGAGTTCTATATTAGGATCTTTTCGGTTTTACTTTTTGAACCATCATCATCTGTTTTTAATATTTTTGTTTTGAAATACTGTATTTCGCCTTGTTATATTTAACAGATTGAAAGCATTAAAAATTTTTTTATGGTTCTAGAATGAAATCTTCCTGAGGGCAGGGAATATATGGTTGTTTTTTCCACTGTACCTTATGTAAGGGAGGGTACTCTAAAAATGAGTGCTTCTTGAATAAAATGATGATTAAAAGTTGTGAAAAATCAATTATGTTTTGATTCAGTTGTTATCCTGATAAAAACTTAAGAAGTGTTAAGTAGTTGTTGCTGAGCAAAAGCCTATCTTTTTCTTGCTAATGTAAAAATTTTAATCTTTTTCTAAGGTTCGACCGAATAGCCCTTCTCCTACTGCATTAGCTTTTGGGGACCACCCTATTATACAACCAAAGCAGTTATCCTTTAAAATTACTCAGGTAAATAGTGAATAAAATTTTTTGTATGATTTGTAAGAAACTTAGTACAAATAACTAAGATGTCTTCTCTTTGTTTTAGACACAGTCATAAAGTAAAATTATACATCAGGAAAGCGAATTACTAAACAAAAAAACAATTTGTAGGGGGTAAGGAATTGAAACACCCAGTTTACTATCAGCTTATCCTTTGTTACATGCAGATTAAATATGCAGATGTTATAAGGATATTAAATAAACAGAACAAGCATGACATGTCAGTTTTTGTTTACTGCTTCTTTTTGAACATACCATCCAAATACATATAATCAGTGTTTTCCTAAAGCTATTATATTTGTCATAAGTGAGCATTAAAGTAGGTCATTTTGGATGTCTGTGTATATTCATATATGCTATACACTTACAGATATCATTTGAAAATTAGATATCTTTTATGCTTATTTGATTTTATGAATTTTGAGTACTAAGTTTTTCATTTTAACGTTTTACATGTGACAGGTTTTGGATTTTACTATATTAGACCGCGGGGATTGGAAGAGTAGATCTTTTGCTTAGCCACCTTATTACTCCAGTTATTGCCATTAGACTTTTCTGTTAGGTCATGTCCAAGCTGTTGTACATGCATCAACACTTCTTTGAATGATCTTTAGGCTAGGATTACAAGTACATTGCTTTCAGTCAATGAATAGCTCATGAACGTTTTTGCCATGTTCAAAAATCAACCAGAGTTGATAGCACAAAGCAGTGGTTGTATTGAATTTTAATGAAGAACATAACAATATTCTAAAACTTTTAGTAATCAGTTTTTTAAACGTTTCTTTGTAAGCTTATAGAACTTATATTTCTGAAGATGTTAAAACTTTAAAACTGCTAAGACTTTTTGGGATAACTTTTATATACACAAACTCAAATATTTTCTTTGTTTTTAGAAGCACTAAAATCTAGTTTTATATTTGCATGCAATGATATGTATAATGGAGATAATAAAATAGCTTTCTTTCATTTAGACTGATCTCACAATGCTGAAATTAGCAGCATTAGAAAGTAATAAAAACCAGGACCTGGAAAAGAAGGAAGGTCGTATAGATGACTTGCTCAGGGTAAGTAGTCTTGGAGGGTAATAAGGATAATAAATCATGGAGGGGGAGAAAATTGAGTAAATTATTTGGCAGTAATAAAACTTGAGGAAATACTTAGCATTGTAAAATATTCTTTAGCTGGGGAAAAAAATAAGCTTTTTCTGGTAGTTTTAAGTACGTGAAAATCACTATTTTAAAGTGAAAATTATTAGCTCTTTAAATGTGAATTGAGAGGGGCATCTGGGTGGTGCAGTCGGTTAAGTGTCCAACTCTTGGTTTCAGCTCAGGTCTTGATCTCAGAGTCATGAGGTTAAGCCCCAAGATGGGCTCATAGTGGAGTCTGCTTGAGCTTCTTTCTCTCTCTCCCTCTGTTCCTGCCACTCATGCTCTTTCTAAAATATATAAAAAAATCTTTAATAAATAAATGTAAACTGAGAAACAGTTGGAGAAATACAGGGAAGTTTGTAAAATTTATTTTTATTTGATCAGCTATCATAAGACCGATGGCCATTTCATGTTAGTTTTAAAGGTAATTGATTTTGTTATAAACCTGACGTTTGATATTATACAAGATGAAGTAACTACTGCAGTCCTGTGAGATTTTTAATGGAAACTTTATAAAAGGACATATCAAAAAATACTTATAATGTGAGTAAGGTAAGAAGCAGTGGTTCTCACCCCTTGCTGCTCAGTAGAATCACCAAATGGGAAGGATGGGAGGCACTTTATAAAGGTACCCATGCCTAAACTCCATCCTGAGGGGTTCTGATTAAATTGATGTGATGTGGGCTTGGGCATTGGTAGTTTTAAAGCTCCTCCAAAAAACAAAAACCAAAACAAAGCTTCTCCAGATGATTATAATTTAAGCCAGCATTGAGAACTATTGGTATAGAAACTTAATAAAACCAATGTCTTATCTATGATCCTACCACAATTACTGACACCTTTGAAACATCCAGCTTGCCTTTTCTGATCCCATCCCAGTCACTCACATTCTTTTACCATTAACTACTGTTCTAAGTTCTGTATTTATTATGCCTTATTATTATGGTTTTATCACATGTATCTGTACATTCTTAACATATTTCGGTTTGTTTATTTTTTAAAATTTTACTTATTTATTTGAGAGAGAAAGTGAGAGAGAGAGAGAGAGTGCACAAGCCAGGGGAGGGTCAGAGAAGCAGACTCCCCGCTGAGCAGGGAGCCCGACATGGCACTTGATCCCAGAACTCTGGGATCATGACCTGAGCTGAAGGCAGACGTTTAACCAGCTGAGCCACCCAGGCGCCCTTCAGTTTATTTTTGAACTTTACATAAAATTACGCTGTCTGTACCCTTTTGCTCTGCTTGTTTTCACTAAACATTGTATGTGGAATTGTCATGTACTTTGTTCATTTCATGCTATATATATAGCAAGGCACTATATGAATATACCATAATTTATTTTTTCTGCTCTTGGTGGACATTTTATTTCTACTTTTTGCTAATACGAACAGTTCTGCTAAGAACATTATTGTACATGTCTTCTAGGGGAAATGTGGGAAAATTCATCGTAACATTATATGCTTTAAGAGAGACGTGGCCAGAGTACATGGCATGCACATGTTCAATTTTGCTTTATAATGCCAAATTTTCCCCAAAGCGGTTGGATTAATTTACACTCCTATCAGCAATGGGCAATAAATAATCTTGTTGCTTATTATCTTTGCTAAGGGTTTCTATAATCAGATACAATAAATTTCTTGGCCAATTTGGTGGATGTAACAGTGTCTTTTATCTTTTATTATGTGTTCTCTATTTTCTAGCATCTTTTAAAATATTTATTAACTGTGTTTCTTCTGAGAAATAACCAGTCATGTTTTTTACTCATTTTTCTTAATGGGTTACTGTTTGTTTGTGTGTGTTTTTTTTTTTTAACTTTTAAATCATTTTTTATTTAAATTCAGTTAATTAACATATAATGTATTAATTGCTTTCAAAGGTATAGGCCTGTGATTCCTCAGTCTTATATAATATCTAGTGCTCATTACATCACATGCCCTCCTTAATGTCTGTCATCCAGTTACCCCATCCCTCCACCCCCCTCCCCTCCTGCAACCCTCACTTGTTTCCTATGATTAAGAGTCTCTTATGGTTTGTCTCCCTCTCTGGTTTTGTCTTGTTTCATTTTTTCCTCTCTTCCCCTATGATCCTCTGCCTTGTTCTTAAATTCCACATATCAGTGAGATCATATGATAATTCTCTTTCTCTGATTGACTTATTTTGCTTAGCATAATACCCTCTAGTTCCATCCATATCATTGCAAATGGCAAGATTTCAATTTTTTGATGGCTGCGTAATATTCTATTGTATATATATACCACATCTTCTTTATCTATTCATCTGTCGATAAATATCTGGGCTCTTTCCATAGTTTGGCTGTGGTGGACATTGCTGCTATAGACATTGGGGTGCAGGTATCCCTTCGGATCGCTACATTTATGTCTTTGGGGTAAATATCCAGTAGTGCAATTGCTGGGTCGTAGGGTAGCTCTGTTTTCAACTTTTGGAGAAACCTCCATACTGTTTTCCAGAGTGTCTGCACCAGTTTGCATTCCCACCAACAGTGTAGGAGGGCTCCCCTTTCTCCGTATCCTCGCCAACATCTATTATTTCCTGCCTTGTTAATTTTAGCCATTCTGACCAGTGTGAGGTAGTATTACATTGTGGTTTTGATTTGTATTTCCCTGATGCTGAGTGATGTTGAGCGTTTTTTCATGTGTCTGTTGGCCATTTGGATGTCTTCTTTGGAGAAATGTCTGTTGATGTCTTCTGCCCATTTCTTGATTGGATTATTTGTTCTCTGGGTTGAGTTTGATAAGTTCTCTATAGATTTTGGATACTAGCCCTTTATCTGATAAGACATTTGCACATATCTTCTCCCATTCTGTAGGTTGTCATTTGTTTCCTGTGCTGTGCAAAAGCTTTTTATCTTGAAGTCCCAGTAGTTCATTTTTGCCTTTGCTTCCCTTGCCTTTGGAGATGTGTCTAGCAAGAAGTTGTGGCCAAGGTGGAAGAGGTTGCTGCCTGTGTTCTCCTCTAGGATTTTGATGGATTCCTGTCTCACATTTAGGTCTTTCATCCATTTTGAGTCTACTTTTGTATATGGTGTAAGAAAATGGTCCAGTTTCATTCTTCTGCATGTGGCTGTCCAATTTTCCCAACACCATTTGTTGAGGAAGACTGTCTCACACATGCAGTTTGTTGGGCTTTTGTTTGAATTGCACCTAATGAAGTGGGTTCATTCTTGCTAAATTCCATCTATGTTCTTCTGAGAGTCTCTTTATTTTACCCTTTTCCTTGAAAAACACTTTGATTAGGTATATAATTTAAATTGGCAGGTATTTTCTCCTAGCATTTGCAATATATTATGCCACTGTCTTTTGCCTTCCACCATGATTGGCCTAGACCTATGGTTCTCAAAGTTGATTCCCAGACCAGAAGCATCCATTACTGGGGACCCACTTACAAAGAAACTCCTCTGGGAGTGTGTCCCAGCAATCTGTATTACAAGAAGCCCTCCAGGTTATTCTTTTGTCACTGTACTAGACTAATCCAGCTCATCTCCTGAGCTTAGAGAAAGGCCCCTTCCCTGAGCAATGTGGCTTACTACAAAGTCAACAAAATTGATATCTTGTTGCCAAGAAAGATGGTGGAAATAGTTAGCTATTGGGTAGGCATCTATAGTGCCATCCACAAGTTTAATGAAGAAAAAGTATCAGTTAAAAAATATGGAAGAGAACTCACATTTATTTTTAAGTGTTAGACATTTTGTATACTATATTTTAGTTATTTTTAACTAAGTGAAGTAGCTGGTATTGCCCCTGTTCTAGAAATACAAAAAAAAAAAAAAAATCTTAAGTTTCAGATAACTGACTTAATAACTTAGCCAAGGTTACATACCTTATGGTGTTGATTTGAACCCATGGAGTATGGATACAAATTCCATGTACTTTATGCTGCACAGTTATGCAGCATTTAACAGTATTACACATGGTTAGTAGATGTTTAAAAAAAATTATTTTAGGGGCGCCCGGGTGGCTCAGTCGTTAAGCAAGTGTCTGCTTTTGGCTCAGGTCATGATCCCAGGGTCCTGGGATTGAGTTCCGCATCGGCCTCCCTGCTCCACGGGAAACCTGCTTCTCCCTCTCCAGCTCCCGCTGATTGTGTTCCCTCTCTCACCTGTCTCTCTCTGTCAAATAAATAAAAATCTTTAAGAAATAAAAAAATTATTTAACATCATACTCAAATACTTAATTTATTAATCCTTTCTTTTTATGTAATTTATTCAGAATGTAAGAATATTCCTAAGTGTCTCATATACACAAATTCTAGACCTTTTCTATTTTTACTTATGTTGTAGGCTAACTGTGATCTCAGACGGCAGATAGATGAACAACAAAAATTACTTGAAAAATACAAAGAACGATTAAATAAGTGCATATCAATGAGCAAGAAGCTGCTTATTGAAAAGGTAAAAGTTCAGTGAATTTTCCTTTTCATTCCACTGGCCCCTTTTCACCTTGTACAGTTTTAAATTTAAATGAATAAAATTGATGATTTTTCCTTTTTTCAGAGTACACAAGAAAAACTGTCAAGCAGAGAGAAGAGTATGCAAGACCGATTACGCCTTGGGCACTTCACAACAGTTAGACATGGTGCTTCATTTACTGAACAATGGACAGATGGTTTTGCGTTTCAGAATCTTGTGAAGTTAGTCATTATTACATTTTAAAAAATGTAGCGTTCCTTTGAGTTTTTGTTACTTCCAAAGATTATAGATTTGGAATTATGTTCTATTTCTACTCCTTACTGCTTGTTGAAATCACAGAATTTAGTACATTTGAAAGGAACATAAAAGTATTACAATTTCAGCTTTAGCAGACTTCTTGATTAGTTAGCATTCATCCATACTATATGATATATTATTCTAAGTATGACTTTCCAAAATATAAACTGATCTTCTAGCTATATAGATGATTTGGGAGGAAATTTTAATTTTCACTGGAAGATTTACATATATATGTATCTTGGGATTTTTCTACTTAGTTTTTTCCACATTCTCCAGTCCTTATTTCAGTGTTAATATTCAGCCCTTGCCTGCTTTCTATTCCTGTGGAAAAGACAGGAACTTTTTCTCTTCTGCTTCAGATACAATAATTCATAAATCAGTTGAGGAATATGTAGCTTTAGCATTTCTGAGGCAAACTTTAAAACAGAAATTGAGTTCAGATGATGGTAGATAGGGATAGATTGACTATGTATTAAGGAGCCAGGACCTGTGCTGCTTTTTTGTTTTCACTGGAAAATTTTTTTAAACCTCAAAAACAGGAGTAGTACCAGCATCTACATCAGTTTTCCTAGAGTTATATGGAAAATGGAGACAAAACTGTATCTCCATATATAAACATTGCTGTTTCAAACACTAGTTTCCAGGACTTCGCACAGAATGGCCTTCTCTCTCTCACAGTTGATTATTCAGCTTTTGTTCAACACCAGCTGTGCTGGGTGATAGGTGTACCATAATGAAGAACATAGTTCTTGTGATGCTAGAGAGTTTGGCTTTTAATTCTATGGTAGTACGGAGCTATTAAAGGTTTGTATGTAGTGTGTGTGGTCAGAATTGAGTTTTAGAAAGATAACTGGTGGTAATGTGGGCCTAATATTGGAAGGAAGATAAATTATTGACAGCTGAGGTATCCAGATGTTAAGGTGATTAGGCTTGAGCTAAAATGCTGACAGTGAAAGGTAGAGAATAGGAGATATATTTGGGATAGAAACCATGATTTTTGCATGTTAAATGAGTAAGAGCCTCTGCTACTAAACTCATATCTACAGTTGTCCTGATAATGAATAAAATAGGCTACATAATATAACCTTAAATACAAACTAAGAATAACAAATCTAAAATATAAGCTGTGTTTGTAGTAAAAATTTCTTCATCAAGCTGTCAAGAGCAAAATTGGAGCTTCTGGGTTGGTGAACACATGGAGGTTTGGGGAGAATGGTACAATTAGAGCCTGGAAGCCCTATACCCTTACCCTATACCTTGTTCTATGCATCTCTTCCATCTGGCCGTTCCTAAGTTATATCCTTTTATAATAAGTAATCTAGTTTTTAGAAAGTTACTTGCATTTCTTGTATTGAGGGCCTACTGTGTGTTATTACATATGCAGATTTTAAATAAAGCTGCTTATCAGTGTAAATTAAGTAGTTTATCAGTGACATAACCCAAAGTAGTTGGTGGATGAGAAGAGAAATAAATATTAGTAATATTAAATTAATAATCTCTAAATTGTGTAGTCATTCCTAAATAAACAGATATTAGCTTTATATTCATTCCAGTAACTCTTTACTTTTTAGGATTTTAAACATTAGGATTATTGCCATTTGTTTTCATTTATAACATCTTGATTGTGCTCTAAGCTAGCTTTATAAATTAACTATTTTAATAAAATGAAGTTATTTATTTCTCTTTCCAAAAGAAAACTGGATTAAACTCCTGTTCTAGCTTTGCTATTCTTGAATTTTCTCCACCCTTTTACTCTTCTGCCTAGGTGGCTATTGATTCTTTCATTCTGGTCATACTCTACTACTGTCTGGCTAGAATCATAGGAACAGGCAATGTATGTAAAGCCAATTTTGGGTCAGCAGAGTAGAAGTTTTGTAGTTCTGCTTTGAGTGGGGTGGGGAGCCAAGGAATTGAAACATTTGTCTTGTTTAAATCTAAGTATCATAACCATGTAGAGTTTTAAAATTTTTTTCTTAGCGTGTTGAGGTGACCTAAAAGGGAACATGGTTACTGTGAGAACAAGTTGTGTGATGGAATAGTTTTAAAAAGCTTCACTGTCACCTACTCTTGCTCTGGTCAAATTGCTGAAATCTCTAACCTATATTTTTATAATACACATGATATTTAGTATTTTTTAGAATTAGTAAGCTTCAGATTCTTGAATGGGAAGCAGTAATATTTTTACTTTTATTAATTGCTCATTTTTCATAGCCATGCTAATTTTTCTGGTTTCCCTTATTTTTTTTTCTTGTTTGCTTCAAATTGTCAAAATTCTTTCCTCATAAATTTCTTATATTTAGGTCAGTTTTTGTTTCATTTCAAGGTAGTGCTTGCACATTCCCAAAATCTTTCTGACAAAGACAAATTTAGAAAATAACACTTTATTAGATTGTCTTTTTAAAGTTTTTCTATAAACACAAAGTGATGAGATGCATGTTTAAAATCCACTCCGTGCTTATCTCTATTCTTTAATAGCCTATTTGTTTCATTGAGCAAGTATTTACTGAATTCCCAGTATGTGCTGATGATTATGCTGGGCACTAGGGATACGATAGGATATAAAATAGATGTGGTCTCTGTTCTCATGGACTAATGTACTCTAGAGACATTCTAATCAAGTATCTATAGGAATGTTACTTACTAGGAAGAAGGAGCTGGAGATCTACAAGTACCATGAGATTAAATATAGCAATACATCTTTCCCTAGTTTGGGGGATTTAGGGAATTTAGAAATGAATGCTTCAAATGAGACCTGGACAGTTAGTACAAGTAGGTTCAAAAAAATGGAACCATAATTTTTGTTCATGTTATATGCTTTTTCATGTTTATTAATATATTCGTGTTTTAACTGTGAAGAGTAATAATGAAAAGTTAATACGGTTTTTTACATTTATTTTTATACAGGCAGCAAGAATGGGTGAATCAGCAAAGGGAAGACATTGAAAGGCAAAGGAAACTTCTAGCCAAACGCAAACCTCCCACAGCTAATAATTCTCAGGCACCCTCTACCAATTCTGAACCAAAACAAAGGAAAAACAAAGCAGTCAATGGAGCAGAGAATGATCCCTTTGTTAGACCCAATTTACCACAACTGTAAGCCTCCATTTTAATTTACCTTTTTTTTAAATCGTTGCCAGTGAGCATGAATGTTAGATATTATTTATATTTACACGAATACTTAAATATTAAAAATACTTATGGCCAGGAGGGAAGGCAGTATTAAAATTTACTTCTAAATCTCCGAATACCTGAATTCAGCCTTTGTAAGTGGAGACTTATTAATCCTCTTTTAAAATGAAGATTTAGCAGCTAAGAGGAAACTGGAATCCACTCTTTCTTCATGTCTGAATGATAGTCAGTTATTAGTTTTGATTATCTCAATTCTGTGTTTCCATTAATGTTCCTTTTTCTGAGAGAATATTAAAAATATAACTGACATATATTTTCTTAACCTCTGAAAGCAGTACGTTGGAGGTTATAGGTATTGTTTTTTCCCTTTCTGCTTTTATTTATTTTCTAAATTTTCTGCATTAATGATGAACTACTCTTTATAGTTCAATGGGCAAAGAGATTTTTAAATAGTTAAATGCTTATTATACCTAGAAAGTTGGGAAAATATGAAAGAACATAATAAGACAATATAGACCATGATCCCATCCATAGAGAAGACCATTGTTAAAATTTTGATTTACAGATGTGTCCAAACATAATTTTTTTGTTCTGCAAGAACTTAAGTTTTTGTGAATAGAAAATACATACAAACACGCACACACACACACACTGTTTGATATTTTTATGTGGATATATTCTTTTTTTCCTTTGTTGAAAGGTAATGTTTCATCTGTGCTTTGATTCCCATACTCTGCTACATGAGGGACTCTTCTATAGATACGTCCTTTATCTTCTGTCGTCAGCTTTTTGTTCTCTACTGGTTCTCCTTTTAGAAGACAAAATGAAACCAAAAACTCTGCTTCAATTATATATCCCTAATTCTAGCCTCCATATCCTGTCATCTTTATAATCAGGTTTTCTTGAAAGACTTGCTTGTACCAGTCTCTTCTGTCTCACCTTCCATTTTCTTCTTTCTTAAATGAAATTGCCTTTTAAAGATTAACTATCTTTTTGATGCTCAGTGCCATAGACATTTGAGTCTTTAACTTGGCAGCATTGAATATTGTTGACTTATTTTTTCCCAAAAGACTATCTTGTCTTTAGTTTTTGAAATACCTTGATCTCCTAATTTTCATTTTAACTCCTCTGGCTCATCTTCTCAGTCTTTTCTATGGACATTATTTACACTACCAATTTGTAAAATGTAAGTAATCTTTAAAAGATCTGTCTTGGTCATCTTACTTCCTACTCTACATATTCTCCTTGAAAATTAGCTACCCTCAGAGTTTCAGTTATCACATATATGCTTCTGACATCCAGGTTTCTGTCTCCAGTCCACTTTCTCTCTTGAGTATTAAATATATCTCAATTTTGAATGTCATATCCTTTCTTGGTTGTTATCAGTACTTCTAATGTAGCCTTTTCAAAACTGTATTTACTAGAATTACAGAACAAAACAAAAATTATTTAATGTTACCATTCCCATTCCAATCTGTCTCTCTCCACACACACACACACACACACACACACACACACACACACTCATCCACATATACACACCCCTTGTTTTTTCCTGTGTTTTCTGTTAGTAAATGGTACTACCATCCTCTCAGTTCCACATGCCAGATTTTTATCATCCTTAATGTTTTAGATCAAGATTTCATTTATTTTCCTTAATCCATTTTTATTATTTTCCATTAATAAATAGGTGGTTGTTTGCTTATTTTTCAAAATCTACCTCAAAATCTACTTCCATCTTCAAACCTTTTCTAATCTTGGTGGGCTTTTTAAATTAGAATTAATTCATTTATTGAAATTTTAAGAAAAACTAGCAAATGGTTTACTTTTTGTAAATTAATAAATTTGTTGCTTAATAAAGGGTAGATGGGTAGATGAGTGGTTATATAGAATACAGTGTGTATTAGCTTTAACTCCACTCCTACAAGACACCAATCCTTCTAGTTCTCAAGTGTATCCACTTACGTAAGACCCCACTGACACCATTCTAACTCAAGTTACTGTCCTCTCTTAATTGGGTTATTTTTTTTTTCCTACCTCTCCTTTCAGCTTTGGTTTAGCAATCTAGTTCATTTTCATTTTGCAATCAGAATCATTTTTGCAAAATATGATCCTTTTGTTCTCTTCCTTATCACCCTAACATAGCTGTTTTTTGAATCACAGAATCCAAAAATCCTAAGATGACTTCATTTAAAGCACTTTTGATCTGGCATCTTCTGACCACTCTAGCCTCTTCTTTTGTCACTAACCAGTGCCTTCCCTTCAGTGCCAACTTTCAAACTCCAACCCATGGTTTTTAATTCCTCTCCATCTTTTAAATCCCATACTAGGTATTTCCTCCTAAAAGTTTTTCCTTGATCCCTGAAGGATAGGAGTTAATTATCACTTTAAGGTAATGTGATAGTGTCCTCTGTCTCTTCAGTCATAGCATCACCATTTACTCTGTTAATGACACTATAAACATCCTAGATGTTTCCCTTTCCCTCGTTCTCTGTGTCTGTTTCTGTAGCATCTTGTATTTGTCCATCTTCCTTGCTACTATCTTAGTATAGGACCTCATCTCTTTTTAACCTAGATTCCTGTTTCTTATGTGTCTCTTCATGTCAGTTTCACATTTAACCTCCTTCACTGACCTTCAAGATAAAATTCACCCTCATGAAGGGCTCTTTGTAGGCCTTATTTTTCTCTTTCATTTCACTCCCAACATCTGTCCTATGTATCTTATGTTAAACTCTTTCGTTTTCTAAGTGGATTAGGCGTTCTTGTTTCTGTGCCTTTATACATCTTGTTCCTTGCCTTTCTTCACCTTCTCATTGCCTGTTCATCTTTTAAGGCTTGGTTCAAATACCAATTTCAGTAGGAAGCCCTCTCTAACTTTTTTTCTTCCCATTTTCTCCCCCATTTCCCCTCAGGTTAGGTGCCTGTAGCCTTTTGTACGTGCCTGTTCTGTATGTAGCTTTTATCTCTATATTCTCAATATGTAGCACAGTTTTCTGACATATGGAAAGTGGTTAGTAAATGCTAAATTCTGGTACATAAGCATTTGATTGAATTTTATTTTCTCCTCATTAGTTCCTCCTTCATTTTTCTAGTTTGTCACAGGTATTTTGCTTACTTGTATTCCAGGATGCTTAACAGCCCTAACAATACTTTAATAGTCATAGACTTGTCTTATTTCACCCCACTTTATTATATATGTTGACTGAGAACTAACCCTAAACTTAAACTGCTATACGTTCTTGGAGTGGCAAATGAAGTGATAACTGCATAAAAAAGTTTTAACTATATCTTTATACAAATGCAGATTTAAATAGGGAAAAAAGCCATAGAAGCACTTTTTAAAAAAAATTGATTTATTAGAGGAGGGAGCGTGCATGAGAGCAGGGGAAGGGAGGGGCAGAGGGAGAGGAGAGAGAAAATCCGCTGCGGGAGTCTCGATCGATGGGGGGATCGATCCCAGAACCCTGAGAACATGACCTGAGCTGAAATCAAGAGTTGGATGTTCAACCAACTGAGCCACCCAGGCACCCCAGAAGCACTTTGATTTATATATTATTATATTTTAGTGGCTGTTCTCTGCAACTGTCTTCTAAAAATTCCTTCTGAATCACTGTTTGGTGGTAACTAGAACATCTAGTGTATGTGCAGAACATCTAGTATAATTAGAAACCATAAATCTTTAATTTTTTTCTATCAAGAAATTAACATAGAAAATGAAGTTACTACTATGGAGTGGTTAGGACTTTAAGAGTTGTAGACAGACAGATGTGGAATCCATCCTTGACTCTTTCAGGTTGTTGTTTTTGGTAATCTGTTTTACTTTTTTGAGCCTCCATTTCCTCACTTGTCAAAGTACATATATCATAGTGTTGAAAAGATGATACGAGGTAATGCATGTTAAAGTACTTGCGTGGTTCCTGGCTCTTAACTAATTTTTAACTACCAGCAAGATTCGGTCAGATTTTTTAGGTAGTAGTTTCTAATTTTAGTCACATATACTTCTTTTATTCAGAGTAATTTGCATAGATAATATTACCTATGGATGTCTAAATGACGCTTGTGTTAATTGTAATTAATTTTAATCAAGATTTTGACCTCATGTTAAATATATTTTAAATCATGTTTTGATTTTATTTATGTATTTCATGTCTCACAGAGGATGCTTGCAAAGTAAACAGTAATATTTTACCTTCTATTTTGTATTAAGGAAGTTTTAGACCCACTGTGTTTTCTCATTAAAGCTTTAATTTTAACTCAGGATTATATTTTACATACCATAAAGTTATTTAGTGGATTACTTCTTTTGTAAATAATATAATAGACTTTTTAATTAATAAAATTTATTTTTAGAGCCGTTTTAGTGTATAGCAAAATTGAGCAGAAAGTACAGAGAGTTCACATACACTCCCTGTCCCCACACACAACCTCCACCACTATCAGTATCCTGCACCAGAGTGGTATATTTGTTACACTTGATGAATGTGCATTGGCACATCATTATCACCCAGAGTTTATAGTGCACATTAAAATTCACCTTTGGTGTTGTATACATTTTATGGATTTTGACATGTTTAATTGATTTTTTAAAAAATCATGTCTGAAAAATCTTTCCTTGGAGCATTTAATCTATTTTCATTTCATGTATTTATTTATTGGGGCTTAAATCTGGTCTTTATGTTGTTGATTTATCCTGCCTCATCTCTGTCCCTTTTTCTTATTAGGTTGCTCAGTTTTTGTGTATTTGATTCTCTCTCTCTCTGTCAGACACACCTCTCTCTGTAAAGACATCTTTGTCTAGTATAGTCTGTGTTGATCTAAATGTTACTTATATATTTACCATTTTTTTGCTGTTCATTTATTCTTACAGCTTTGATTTTTTTACATAGTAAGATCTTTCTGCCCAAGAAAACCCTTTAGAAAATTTTTCTTTTTAGTGTCAGTCTATTGGTAGTGACACCTTTCAA